ATCTGTAGCACTGTGTGATCTGTAAATGTTGGGCACATGTTAATTGTCGCCAGATATGTTTGGCACTGCGTTATTTCCTTTTTCGTATTAGCTTATGAACTTTCGTTCACTGCACCTGGGTCACATGCACTTCAAACCTGACTATTGACTATGTCGCACTTATGCCAATTATTGTTGCTTTATTATTGAAACGTTCGCTTCGCTGAGTGCGCTTTAACTGACGATCACTATGACAGCAAATCGTGGATGCTTCTTCCTGACTATACTCCTGCTCATAACGCTCCGGGCACCCGGACATTACTGACCGAGAAAAAATTACTATAATAGAACAGCCCTCATACTCAATTGATATTGCTCTAAGCAACGCTGGTATTAAGGAGCATCGTGGAAGAATGCTTCCAGCAGTGCGACGGAGCGTGGTAAAGAATGACGGAAACCCGCATTAAACCCGACGGGGAATGTCCTGAAGGTGAAGTTATACAGTTTGTTGTTTTCGAGCTACTGGAATTCTATCAGTAATATAAAATATCACTGATAGCTCTTTGTGATTTTCCTGCTAAATTAAGTCGCCGTTTCACTTGAAGCCTCTGTACATTTTCCGATACAACTCGTTCACCTTTGTTTGTTACACTGTACACCATTGAGCAGTATTCCAAGAGGAGGTGATGAATAGGCGCAGAGTAACTTCGTGGTTCTAAACAACATTTCAATGCGCTAGCTGGCCTTTGCAGTGACGAAAGCTATTTGTTCGTAGAAGTTGAGCGATCATGAGCATCTCAGGTCCCAGGTCCTGAACGGCGTGGCATATATTAATTGGATTATCCCAAATGGTTGGACCGCTAGATCTTATGTCGTATTTTTAAGACATTGCGTAACACTTACCTGGCGTACACAATAGTCCCTACTTTGAGCACCAGGTTCTGAAAGTGTGGAGATCGAACTGGATCATGTTGGTTGCTTCGTTTATGATAGCAGGGTGAAAATGGTGGATGAGTTCGCTATTGTCGGCAAAACGTATGGTGTTTCGAACTACACCGCGTCGAATATATCGTTAACACAGATCAGGAACAGTAGAGGACCAAGGACACTACCCTGTACTACACCACTTGTTACTGTGTTGGTTCAGATTTGTGAACCTGGATCTGTACCGCCTGCGCTCGATTAGTAAAACAGGATTGAAACCATGAAAACAGGGGTTCCCAGTTCCATACGACATCATTTTGGATAATGGCTTTCCGTGGGGCACTCGATCAAAAGCTTTGTGCAAGTTGAGGTAAATAACGGTTGCAGATATACCGTTATCTTGTGAGGCAGTTAGATGTTGTAGAAATTTAAATTGGCACATTACGCATGAGTGAGCACTCCGGAAACCGTGCTGAGAGTTGGAGTAACTTTTGTGACATTAGTAAGCCTGCTGTTGTAGCAGTTCTATGTCGCTCCATCATTTTTGATAGGATAGATGTATAAGTTATTGGGCGATAATTCTTTGTTTCGAACAGGGAGCCAGATTTGTGTCGCGGTTTGACATATGGTTTCATTCAACAGTCCATGGATATAATGAAATTATTCAATAGCAGTCAGGGTATGTCGACAACGCCGAGTTTGGCAAGTGCAGGAGATACATTATCTGGTCCGCAGGAGAAACACAGTTTTATGCACGTTATGAGCTCGTGTAAGCCACGGAGTTCAAAGTTGACATGAATGAGCTGATCAACTGTGGACGGTGGTAGGTCTAATATTTGAGGGTTATTATCCACGTTAAAGGAGGCGCAGAAGTACTGACTAAATAGTTCAGTGGTGTGGGTTGGGTCAGTTATTATGCAGTTACCTGCTGCAACCGATGAGATCGCGTCTTGATTTTGTTTGGTATTTCTGCACTTCAAAAGCTGATTAGTTTGGGGTTTTCACACTGGCTGAGGAGAGCTGGTTTTTCATCAGCGATCTGTTTGATACAACATGCCAGCAGTAGAGCTGCGGTCAACTTTTGGTGCTGTACCCAAAAAGAGAAGTCATTTGTTTTGCGGCATGCCGTTAGCAACTTTTTGAGCTTTACGGCTGTGGTGCGTGACGTATAAGCTTTGTTCATTTGAAGAAAGTGTCGATGCACAGTGGGAGCGAGCGCATCAGTAGATATATCAATGTTGTAGAGAACTCGTGCTACAGCTTGTCATTGAGATGTTTGGAACTCAGTGGATTACCTGCGTGTTATTGTGTCGCGGTAAATTTTATTCTCATCCTGATCGGAAATCGAGAAAATTTAAAGCATTCCAACAAGTTAAAGAAAACGACTGATGTCCCACTTACCCAGCTCTGCATGGCCAAACGGTCGATGAGGAAATAAAGCATTCGCTGTACTTGCGCCGAAGTTATGTCTCGCCAATTGCGAGGTCGATGGAGTAAGCATTCAGCAACGGTGAGATCTTGGCACTCCGGACAGAGCCAAACGTCCGGAAACTCACTCAAACATAGGCAAGAAGGATGATACACTCGAGGACAACAGCTGCATATGACCATCTATGAGAAGAAAAAGAGAACAGGGAAGAAAATAGCGATAGCATTAAGTCGACAAAAGTAAACCGAAAATACTAAAATTGGTTTTGTGTAGTTCTACATAAGTGGAAAGGGAGAACAACCTGGAAACGAAGCCTAAAGAGACGTCCCACCGTGAATGAGGATAGAAAAAAAGTGGCGACCGGTGGCAGGGTGGTTCGGATGCCTTACTCGTAGTCCACAAGCCGTTCGTTCGAGACCACCTTGACGCACCCGATATCGTAATATCTGTAGTCCGGGTAGAACCGGTGGTGGTTACGAAGCAGTGAAACATGGGCAAAAGGATCCGATGTACCGCGGGCACTTTTTGTCAATCAATCAGCAAACAAGTGATGGGCGAAATTGTGCGATGCACTGTCATTCATAAGCCTGCCTTGTAATCCGAGGGCGCGGGTTCGAGCCGGCGTAGGGATCGGGCGATCCTCGAAGTATCCTTAGCCCACGTACGACCGGTGGTGGTCATGTGGCAGCGAAGCGTCGGTAATTCGTACCAGCGTACTGCTGATGCCTTGCGGTTGAGTGAACCAAGGCGAGCAAAATGATGAAAAATGGGGGGGGGGGCGATTGACGTCAATATGCGAAAGTGGAAATATTTCTTGAAGCTTAGGTCAGTTAAATGCCTTACTCTGATCGTTGCACCGAAGTGTGGTAGACTTGGTTGCATTAAAATACGTCATCAGAGTAATAATAATAATTCAAGCGAAACAGTCGAATAGACAAAAGCAATAGATGGAATGGAAGAGTCAGAAATAAAAATACAAAAGCAAAGACGCTACTAAGTGACTGCGCCATATCCGGTGGGAGATGTAACAATAGACATGGCCGATTCCGAGGATCCGAGCCAAGAAGACGAAATTAATCGAACTCATTTGGGTAATCCGAGAGTTTATTTATGATGTTTTGCCACACAGTTAACTGCTCACCCAGAGATTTTATCAATCTAGAAGCAATAGTGAAAAAGGATGCACTTCTGGGTAGCGGATGTGCGAAGGATATGATCTGGTCAATGTAGGTGGTGCAGGTCAATAGACACCCCGATGTGGCATCAAAGTGCTTGTATTCAAACACATGAAGACGATGAAGTGTCATAAACTCGGTCAATACCGTAGTGTTCACATGGTGTAATTGCTCCGTCGCAATAAGAGCACTGAAACGTTGTACAGCCTACCTTTAACTAGTTGGATAATACCTCGCCGTTTTCGAAAGTGCACACGATCTTGAGAAGTCCCAAGGGCCTTAGCAATAAGTGCAATAGCCTCTTCGGTGATGCGACCACGAGAGATGATACAGTTTGCCAGAAAGTTAACAGATCGGTCAACTGGAAAGGATGTTCGGTGATCGTCAGAACTGGTGCTGTGGTCCAAGTTGTGAGATATCGCACTGAAGGTGTGAAACGTGTATCAAGACGTGCGGTGTTATGCGCCCGCCGATTTCGTAGTGTCCGCTGCCGGCCCAAAATGACCATCACGACATGCAGTCTAAGTTTGATTGTTTGGCACCCAGCTGTACCACTTTTCCAGAAGGAGTGGAACAAAACATTAAAATGACTCAATCACAAGGTCCAATGGAGGTGTAGGGTATATCTGACACACTCCGCTTGTCACGGTGAACTAACGAGACGGCTTCCCATAGCCCTTACACGGCCGAGATAGTAGCGCTAAAGGGTTTAGGCTAGAAGGGTATGTCCTTCAAGCTTAGGTATCGAAACAAACAAGTGTGACTAACAGAATAAAAAGCAGACTTCAAACCAATACAGACTGCAGTGAAAGGGTATTCGTAAATGCACTAATGCACAAGCGCACAGTAACACCGGAAGATGTAGTCAGTGTACACTCTGCTAGGATAGAGGGTTGAGCACTGAGCGGTTTTAGTGAGGAGCACATAAGTACTGGGGAGCAACCGAGATGAGGCTAACGCATATTGATGAGCACAAAACGATATCTGGTTCTTTTTAAGCATGCCACACATAAGTGACGGAGCAGGGCAATTTACAATAGATAGCGGCGAATAGGTTGCATAGACTAAACATCAATGCGCTACCATTGCATTTTGCAATAATGATGGAGTCACCGGGGTTCAACACCGTCGATGTTGGATGTCGTCTAAGGCGGACTAGGCAAACACCCCTGAGATATTGGGCAGGCAAAAATGCTCTTCAAATTCTCGAGCCCAGCATTCAAGCCGACGTCCCTGACAGCGAATCAGCTGCTCGTGTTTGTCAACAGACGCAGTGGATAAACTGAAAGAGCACTTTGGGGGTCCAATAGCGCTGGTCTTCTCTATTTACGAGATTTATTCAACCGGAATTCATCACATCTATCCTAAAACCCCTAACCAAGATGGTTTCAAAGGGCTGCGAATGCGTTGAAAAGAACTTCACAATCGAATCAAAATCCGTGCTAACATCAGACTAATCTAAGTGACAAAAATCCACTTAAGTACTGGACGCCTTGCGAGGTGGAAGAAAGTGGCCTCAAGTACCCATTGTACAGCACAACGCAATCAGCCTGTCCAATTCGTCAATCCATGTTGGCAGGCAGTTGCGGCTCAGATTGATTTTGCTGGATCGCGGATTGAGAGGTGACGGGCTGGTGTCTTTAGAATTGGGCAATTCGCCGCGCTAGGCAAGTGTGCGTTACACGGGTAGGCAAAAAGCATAGACAGAATAAAGAAAAAGACCCCAGATGAATCGTCAATCATGGAGCGACGTGTGTGATCTCTAGTTGATGGTGACGTGGTCATGTTAACCTCAGAATAACCAGTCGTTCGGTGGCGGCCATATAACTTGCCCATAATGCCTGTTCCGGAAAGCTGTGCGACTGAGTTAAAGGTTGCTTTTGGAGCTTTTGGAGCAGCCGCCTGTGGCTTGGATTGAGACACGCAATCTCAATTGTGGCCTCGTTTGATTTTGAAGTCAGCCTCTGCCAATACGATCACTTGGACCGTCACCGAAGTGGAGGGTGCCGGTGTGGATCTCTCCCACCCCCGCACTCCACGACCGACGGTTTCGTCCTAGTTTGGTCTAATCAGGTAGATAGCCGATTCTAGGAATGGAACTCGACGCATAGTGCTTTGCAGCTATCGCCATGATCACTAGGCCATTGAACTCCGCGAGCAGTGCTTGACACAGCGGTTAAAAGTCGATTTTTGGGTTTTGGAGCACTGTACGCGGAGCTCAATGGCCTAGTGATCATGGCGATAGCCGGCAAGCACTATGTATCGAGTTCCACTCTCAGCCCGGCTACCTCTTCCTAATGAGTCCAAATCAGGACGAAACCGTCGGTTGTGAAGTGTAGGGAAGGGAGTCACACCGAAATCCTATATTTCGGTGATCTAAAGGTAGTGGTAGGTGCACAGATAGAGTAAACAATTACTATTGTAGATGACACAAGTATTCAATCCGAGGAAGCATCCAAGGTGATGGCCTAATTCCAACAGGCGACTGGCTTGAGTGTCCATAATACCCCTTGCACTAATGATGATAACAATTGCGGCCACGTTAACAAGGTAAGGGAGCTGCCGGTAGAATTCCTACTTGATGGCTTCCGAGCGATATTCAATGGGGCAAATGTCGAGAAAATGGAAGGACGCCTTGCATTAGACAATCAGTTGTCGACTCTAATTCTGTTCCAATAGCGAATCACATGCGGCCTTGCACTGGGAGCTACTCCAGAAAATAAGCCACTGTATGTCTGTCGGAGACCCCATCGTGAATGTCGTGAGTTACCGACATTATCAGATAACCGAGGTGTGTAAATATTATCATCGAGAGCCGAGTTTAGTAGATATAGACACATTTGTTATGCATGCATGAATCGGTGACAGCGCACATCAAATCCGAGAGAGTGTAAAGTTATAGTGAGTGTAACTCGTTTAGCGGTCTGACAGATTGTGCAGATGTTGAATGACCCAAAGTAGAAAGGGTCCCTAATTTTGAAAGATGTGGCGGTTGCTTGTGATCCGATCTGCATTGGCGGTGGGTATTCGTGGAAAAGAAAGAAAAGTGAACAGAGGAAAAGCTAGTTCAGGGCTGTATCGTATGGGAAAATGACACCCTTCGGCTGCTCACACGAACAAAGGTTTTGTTAGAAGGGGGCTCGTATCAGGAAATAAACGCAATAGTTGATCCCACAAGATAAATGGGAACAATTACAGCTCGGGAGTGTGAATGTAAAATCACACTAAGATACGCATAAAACCTATCATAGACAAGCTTGGAAGAATTAAAGTAATCCGTAAATGCTTTCAAACATCTGTAAACGCGGTCAAATGCAGATGAGTTCCAGCGGGTTTGCACGCTTTGAACAGCAGCTGCTTCGCTTGAGGTGGGCAATAGAAATGGTGTAGATAAAAGAGATGCTCGTCAGAGATAACTCGTGGTACGCGTGCACTAAAGCGATCGTACTAAGCACATAACTCGTAACTGTTGCGGTATATAAGCTCAGAGACTTCACTGAACGCTGAGTTTCGTGAAGTAATCACATCACGCAATTGTTTTCGAGCTGCTGTTCCGGACTCCGTGGTACACACACTACTTGAAGATGGCAGTGAGGTCATTGGCAAAGCACTTACTCCCCTGTTCGAACAGATCTGGAAGAAAGAGATCATCCCAGTTCACTGGAGTGAATCCAATCTAGTGGCAAGATACAGGAAGGGTAGTCGCACCGAATGTGCCAATTATAGAGGGAACTAGCCTAACTTCGACGAGGACAAAATTGCTGGCCTCAACCATAGTTCGTCGCCTCACTGTGAAACAAGAATCGCGGACTAGGGGGAACAGGCAAGTTTCCGCCAAGGACGGGGTTGTATAGACAAATATTCACTCTGCAGCAAGTACTAGAGCAGTGCCATACGTGCCGCAGACTGATAATAGCTGTGTTCCTGAATTTCAAGAGTGCGTTCGACTTAAAATATCCACGCATTCTGTACGAAATACTTGTGCGGATAGGTGTTCCCAAGAAATA